GGTAGCCAGTTTTGCCCAGAAAATATACAGTCAATTCACTTTACAGTATATTCTGTGCAGCACTTTGAGACATCTTGAAGACGTGATAAGGCACCATATCAAATGCAAGGATAATTATGTTGGGAGTGGAATTCCTGCGGGTCAGAGTTGCATAATTCCATTTGTTGTGAGGAATCCCTACTTGCTGACATGGATCGTTTTAAGGAACCCGTAAAGAAATATCGCAAATTGCTCAATATAAGGCGATTTATAGCCTCTGTGAAACTAATATTGTGAGCGACATGTGCCAGATACTTTGTTTTTTTCTAAAATTAATCGTCTGTGACACAGGAAAGCTTCTAAAGCATGTTGGGAATAAAAGAGTTCCGCTCCAGTGAGGAACGATGCTGTGCTCAGAAAGAGAGAATATGAATCACAATTCATCAGTTCGACGTTACTTTATGGCCTACGTAACTCAAGCATCTCGTTTTGTGTCAGAAAACGCTCTTACGAAATGTTGCTTCTCATGTTACTTGTGTGTTTGTTGCACAGGTCCATTTGTTGTGTCCTAAAGAAAAATAAAAAGCTAACTTACCTCCCACACTAATCTATCCCTCATACCCCTCAATCGATTTATTTGCCATGAAGGTATTCAATTCCCCCAACAAATGTTAAAGCACAAGTACCACATGTTGCATTAATGGTACAGAGTTCCTGCTCACTCAGCAGAGTATGGGTTAAGTTGCTGAGGTGTTCAGGGTCTTGGGTATTGTGCTCAGCAATCGTGAGCTATTACTCAAAGTCATGACTGCTGAGTTACAATAGAAGACATTGGGCGCAGTAAATAAATTACAATTTAATAACCAGCAGAAACAACGAGAGTAAAATAAATGACTTCCAGGTCAATGAGTCCGAACGGAAATATTCATCACTTTCAATTGTGGGCGACAAAAATGCAGTGTACCTATTCCAATATGCCGGTTTCTTCTAAACAAAAAACAATATTTATGAATGAGTGAACGTTGGGAAAATGCACGAGTGTCAAACAGACTGAGCTGCTTTGTTTCACTGCAGTGAGAAAGCCTCTCTTGTTCAGGCAGTTTGTTCATGGCGCAGTTTTGAAGTTAGGATCCAGACTGGATTTGAACACAAGCAACCTGCTGATTGTCCCCAAATCGGCTCATGAGCTGAATCTCTTTTCTCTGTGCGTCACTTTTTTTTTGTTCCTGGAACACAGAGCTGAAACAGAACATCGACAAAGCGTACAAAACTGAACGTGAGGGGAGATGGGGTAGCGAGGGGAATGCAAAATTCTACAGTTGTTGGTATATTTATAGTGAGAACACAAATTCTCCAATAAAGGGCAAGCACTTGTACCGGGAATGCAGTGTTGTGGTGTAAAAGAGAAAGCAGGAGGTTTCACAAATAAGGTCGCAGGGTAAGAACCATTTCTGGGAATTATTGTACTATTGTCCTATATTGAGCTGCCCGCTTTTGTGCGCAGGTTCTAAAAGTAGATGTTTTATTTTTCCCAGGCACCCTCCGTCTTCTTGTGACACGATTCTGGGTTATCTACAGACAGAGGCACAGTGAGAATATACAACATGTAATTGCTAATTTTACTCTGTGCTTTGGCAGTCTGAAGGCAAAGTATTTCCAAAAGTCATTCATCATTTGAAAGAAACTGTCTATAGAATAGCAACGCTGAACAAAGTTGCACAGACAAGTCAGGAAACTACTAGACGATGGTGGATAATCCTTCTTATGAGAAGTTAAACCGAGGTCCTGTCTGCCTGTTCAGGTGGACGTTAAAGGTCCCATGGCACTATTCGAAAAGTGCAGGGAGTTTCTACTGGTATCCTGGCCAACAATCCCCCAAATAAAATTGCTCACTCACTCAATGGCTGTTTGATGGACACTGCTGTGCGCAAATGGCTGCCACAATTCGTACACAACACACAGTCAATCAATCCACTTTATAGTATATCTTGTGAAATGCCTTCAGATGACTCAACAACTGAAAGGCGCTATATAATAATAATAATAATCATTGCATTTGATACAGCACTTTTCACGTCGGGAGGACGTCCCAAAGCGCTTCACAGAACACACTGTAAAGTGAATTGACTGTATATTTGTGGGCGAACGCGGCAGCCAATTGCGCACAGCAATGTCCCACAAACAGTCGTAGATTGAAAAGGACCAATTTATTATTGTTTTTTTTTGGAGGGATTATTATTAGGCGTGTAAGGAAAGTAAGAGGTAAAAGTAGGCGTGTAAGGAGAGTAAGGAAACTTGCAAGGATTATTAATATTATAAAATGAAGCAGCTCATTGCTATCAATCCCAGCAAATAAATAATTGCAAACCCCCTCACCCTTCAAAAAATCCCGAAAAAACACTTGATGTATTTCAGACAGCCCCTTCAGCAATATTGCCCAAATCAATTCATTATGTCTCCCTCTCACTCCCCACTCACACCGCCCCCCCCTCCCCAGCTTGCAATAGTTTATGTTTCCTGCTACAAATTTAACAAAATAGTGCAATTGAAACAGTGGCACATCCCCAAATGTCTCAAAGTGCTTCCTGGGATTTTACTAAAAAATGTATTTTTTGGGGTGACTATCACTACGTTTCAAGTAAACACAGATCGTCAAATCATTCAAATTGCATGAGACAGAGGAGCAGAGTGGATCAGGTTTTATCTATCTGAAATAACCAGATGACTAAATTACTGAGCTGCCTGGTTTTGTGTAGCTGGAAGCAGTTCAGGTCTGAAATGCAAACTCAGCAGGGAAAACTTATTGTGGGTATGAAGAGATGAAATGTAAGATACAAAAATAAAGCCACAATAGTGCCACAAATACAATACTCAGACATAAGCAACATGCTGAACCTATTACAGTTCAAACATTCATATATTTCTCAAATCTGTCAATGTTAGAAGCAGAGTGTGCTCAACTTGTGGTTAACTAGACTAGAAAAAAATGCCTGGCCAACAATCCCCCAAATAAAATTGGGTATTCACTGTGTGGCTATTTGTGGCTCTGCCGTATGCAACGTCGGCTGCTGTGTTCACCAGCAAAATTGTCACTAAAAGTAACTAGACTTTTGTTGCAATCCCCCCTTTGTTTTGCATCACTAACACCTCTTTAACTCATCATCGCCTGTCCTCTACCCATTTTCTCCTTTGTCTTCCTTGCCCTTCCTCCCCCCCTTTAGTCCGTAAAAGTCTCTCCCTCCCTCCCAACAAAGGGTCGTGGACCAGAAACATTGACTCACTTTCCTTTCTCCATAGATGCTGCCTGACCTGTTGAGTGTTCCCAGCGACTTCTGTTTTTGTTTCACAAGGATGGGTTTTGATAAGGAGTTACCTACATCATATACTCTGCTTCACAAGTCTTTTGATAAGGTGTTATGACAAAGATTACTATGATATTTAAATCACATAAAGGGACTGTGGGTTTCCATGTTCATCAGTTATATTACATCATGAACATATTGGATCAGCAAGCAATTATTCCTCTGGGTTGGATTGGGTTGAGTCAGTGAGTGAAGGAAGCAATTTGCTCTGGATGGGAAGGGAACCTGTAACATTTGACCAAGTATCATAAAATAAGGAAACCGCACTTTCACAGAAGCCATAGAGGTTGACTTTAAGAGAGCTCTAAAGGTTAAGTACCTCAAGAAGGAATCTCTCTGCCCGTCCTATTCAATAATGATCTGATTTCAGAGCACGCAGTGAAAATCAGTGACTTTCCTTTATATAACAGTTCTCTGCTCTTGCTACTCAATGAAAAGCTTGGAAATGCTAACTTCTTGTTCCACTTTGCCGTGAGCACAATCCACCTCTTGTATAAAACTGACGAGAGTTGCAAAATTGAACATAGCTTTTGTCTACATAAGCCAAAGTCTAGTCCATTTGAACAAATGGTTTAGTGACTGTAATTAAATTTCAAGTTTCCCCCTTCTCCTCACACATATACACACACATCCACAGCTTCTGTGCAAGGTTTGACACTATCATGCGTATTTTGTGACAACTAAAATTTCCCACTAATTTTACCAATGAAGATTTTACATGCCTTTAGTGGAGTATAACTGCAGCAGTCTGGTCTCTAGGTAAATCATTTGTTTTAGTGAAACCTTCCTCAGTGGATAGTATCAGCCAAAAGCCAATTCATTTTTTAGCACGAATGTCTAACTGTTTCTCGGACACCTATGTCTCAGACTACTGGAACAAATTGCCACCTTGTTCACTGTAAGACAGTGTTTTTTTTAATCAGTCTAACACTCCCCACGACACGAGTCAAAACAGAAATCTCCTCTGTAGTCTCTGTAAAGAATATAATAAATGCATTGCTGCAGTTTTAATATATGAGCTAGCACGTCCTTTGCCAAGTTCCAGACTCCGCTCTCAATCACCACCCAGAGACACGGTGAATTGGAAGCGCATCAAGTGATTAACATGTTAAATGAAGTGAGAAGCTGGGCAATGTTTATTATGGAGTGTTATCAAACCTTCATGGGCTGGGTGCTATACAGGTTATAGCATCACTTGCTGCTTCTGTAAATTCAACACAGGAGAGCAAAACGTTTTGACACACAAACAAGGACTGGGAACCAACTGTTAATCAAAGCAACTTAAAAATATGCACAGAGCCACCGTAAAATATAGTCAATCAGAGATAATTATTCTGCAATTTTTGCATTACTAAAAATAACAACAGCAACAAATTACATTTGTGTAAGCGCCTTTCACGTCAGGAGGATGTCGTAAGGCACTGGAAGAATAACAGCCAAAGATGGCACCTCAATATTCTTCTAATTAAAAATAAAAAGTAGTAATTTTTTTTTTGCTGTTTTTAAACCCAAAATATAGGCAGGCGCAGACGATGGAAATGAAACAATAAACCAAAAGGATGTCCAAAAATTCTTTCCGATGGCCTTTTGATAAGCATTGTGTGTCTGTAAAGTGTAAAAGAAGCAGCAACGGCCAATTTTTATTTGCCGTTTGTTCACACTGAATGGACTGGAAGCAAACAAACCCCTAACACCATTTATTTTATCCCAGGCCAGAATACACTGTTCAGACTTTGCGTTCGCCAAACTCCAAACGCCCACGGAAATCACAATGATGCCTCAGAACAAAAAAACATAATATATTGCTATTTTATTGAAAGGCTGGGGCACTAAGCTTTCCTGAAAACATTTACTCAGACAGAGTCAGCAAAACAAAGTCAAATCCGCGTCAATCTGGGACATCTGGTCATCTTATCTGACAAGATATGACAGAGCTATTAACAGAGAGCAGATTTAAGGAGCATTGTGAGCACATATGGTTCTCAGGATAGCGTAAGCCAGGGTTTGCACTGAACGCTTTCCATGCATTTGGCTTTTACGGGCACCAGGCAATGCAGAGGCGTTGGCACTGATGTGTAGTTGGGTGAAATCAAGCTTATGGATATTCTCACTTCAAGATTAGATGTGTAGGGTAATGAAAGTGTGCTCTACATCACAAAACCACCCATTATCAATGCAAGTCGCCCTACCTAGCCCAGTTAATTGCGATGAAATTAATTACAATTAAAACTGATGTGTGGTGTCTATGGTGGGGGTAGGGGAGGAGAGGAGGTGGGTGGGCGGTATGGTGGTACTAACTTGTTGGCCCAAAGGAGAAGCTCTGTTGTATGATCTCCAAAGTTGTCTTACAGAAAGATGTTCATACATATGTAAAGTGTGTAAAAAAAGGAAAATAGAAATAAGAACAGAAAATGGTAGAAATGTTCCACAGATCATTCAGCCTCTGAGTGGTGAAGGGCTGGTTAATAATAATCATAATAATTCTTGCAATTGCTAGGTTCTTGCTAGGTTGAGATGATCTTAGAATAGGATTCCCCCTTTCTAATGTCCCATCAAAGTCAGTGAACTTATTGACCAACAAATGTACAATATTATGCTTGCTTTGAGACGTCATGAAGATGTGATAAGGCTCCATATTAAATGCCAGGATTATTAAGATTACTGGGGATGCTCTATGGCTTTTGTTTATGGAGCTATATTCAATGAAACCTTTGGTTTTTATTTCAAGTATTTGCTTCCAACAATCAATGATGGATCCAACTTGAAATTCTACCCCACGGGAACATATATACATGCTAGAGCATCAGTAAATTAACTCCCCCCCCAAATAATCTGAGATTTCTCCATTGTCAGGAGGTTCTCCTTTCAGGAGTGATCCTTCCTTGAAACGGACCATCATTTTGCTATGTGGTTTTTTTTCGCCTTTCATAAAATTGTGTTAGGTTTCTCCCACAGTTATCTAAGAACACAATTGAAATCCATCTTGTTAGGCACTCACCCATGCAAACTTTGGCAGGGTGGAAGGTCACCATCAATCTCGTTGGCCTTGCCATTCTTTTATTCCACTTCTTTGTGGGTCAGCGAGACAATAAAACTTTGCGGTTTGTTATTTTTCATCCAGTGCTACAGTGAGGGCTGCACCATGACCATAAATAAACTGTCAGTGCATTGTGCTTAGCTTATTTGGGGGATAACAGGGCATCATGCGTCAATTTGGGTTTGGACAACTCATGTGAGGCAACACAAAGGGGGGTCATCATCCTTCTGAAAATTGGAAACCAGTAAGAGAATCGCAGCAGGCTCCCAGATTGTTCTTTGATTTGCAAACTCAGTGTCTCCATTGCATTCCATGTAGGGCATTGCCTTTTCCCCTCTCCTCTGGTAACACAACCCAACTCAACAAAAAAAAACACTTCTTCACAGTGTGACCCTCACCGCATAGAAACAAACACAGGCCAACTCCCCCATGCCACGTCGCCTGCGCACACATGGCTGAATTTATTACTTGTATTAATCTCTGCCCCACTCTGTAAAACAGGAGTGATTCATGGTAACACAAATCCTATATCATGAAGAGGTATCCCCACGGTTCCACAGTGACTGCACAGACACCGCAGACTGCATGTTTGACAACCCATGACTCCATTGCGTGTCACTTCACACGGTCACTGTACCGTGTAGAATGGCTTAAATCATTACAGGCAATTTCACTTAACTTACGCAAATACCAGATATGCAAACCCTTGTGTGTTCAGAGAAAAAAAAATATGAAGGTATTTCAAATATCACAGTTAGTCTGTTCCACATCACCGTTTACTTAGCTGTTGCACTAAATCTATTTCTGAAATTCCACCAGGATACATTAAGTTGAAATTTAGACACAGCAGGAACTATTGACACAGATACACATGCTAAGAATTCAGTGTGCACTCCATAATTCAGGACATTTCTGCAGCTAAAAAAAAGTTGAAACAAACAGGTAGATAGTTCAATTAGAAGCAGCTTCCATCTCCAGCCCCCACAGAAAAACTGAATCACATGCGTGACATTTGTCAGTACAAATGTCATCACTCTGCATAATTATACAATCTGAATACTTCCAACTTGCAGATGTTTTGTGCTTTTTTTATGCATGACAAAAGCTGAGAATCAGAGTGGTGTATTACACTACTGTACTGACAAGCTCTTGGCTTGGAACTCCACCAACATTGACTGGTGTTTGTACTGGGTAATTTTGTACACAGTGAGCATTGCTTGTGCCAGCTGAGTTTCATAAGTGAAGGAATTGGAGGAAAAATTCCAGCATCTGTACTTGGTCTATAGGAACTGGCTCCAGCGCAAATAACAGTCACCATACTTGACAGTGATTACCTGTAAAGTGTTCCGAGTCTCTGGCTCTATAGGCACCAAATCAAATGCAAGGATTTTTATTATAAATTACTCTCCGTCAAATAAATCATGAGAATTACTTCTCTCTGTTGAGACTGCCAACTGGATTTGAACAAAATAAGTACACTAGTAGCAAAGTTGTTCAATAACAAAAGCAATGCAATAACAGTTTGCAAAATTTTCCAAATATGTTGGGTTTTGGTGTTGAATTTCCTCACTGGCCCCTTTGCTGGTTTTCTTTTATTGTCTTCCATCCCCTGTGTGTCCTCGAAAATGCCTCCATCAGCCAAAAGAGTCAGGCCCATCAACCTCTTCACAGTCAGTATCCAGGCATTTCTCACACTTGCCTGACAGGAGGTGTTGTTTCCACAGGGATTCCAAAAAAAAACATACAGAAAAAGAGAACTAACACGCACAGGATGTAGCTTCATAAAACTGGATTTGTTGCGGTAACTGCAAACTCGGGTTTGTGAAATTCGCGGATGGTAACTTTTGAATCCCAAGTTAACAAAGCCCGAGACAAGCAAAATGATTGCCATTTTTTCCCCAGTCTTTGTTTGTTCACCCACTGCACTTTCAGTAATCCTGTGAAGGGCTTCGCACATTCTCCTGACATGAAAGGCGCTATACCAAACTTAAGTATGTATGTGATTATTACCATGCGATTCGATGAAAGTCACAAACCAGATTACAGAGCGCCCAGATTTTAACAAGTTTTTTTCTGTGCTTCCTAAAAGAACTATCAGAAAAGTATCTTGAAAATTAAAGGCTCTATGTAAGAATTTATCAAATCCTTGACACTCTGAAATGTTACATAAATAAGAGTAAATCTAGATCCAAGTGGAATTGTTACCCTCAATGATTCAGTAACATAAAATGAGACTGTTAATTAGATCTGAAATGGAAAGGAGGCAGAGGAGAACAGCAACAGCTCCTGAGTCTGCGAACAGGTGTCCTGGCTGGGTAAAGGGGATCTGCTTCAAATTACTGTCAATTGGGAAAAATTTGCAGTCGATTAAAATGTTGTGTCTTTTCGCCCATTTTTGACTTTCACTTAGCGAGCACCTCGATTGGCGTATCGCTTTTCCGGGGGTAATAATCCCTTCNAAAAAAATTACAATAATTTGGTCGCTTAATCCACGACTATTTGTGGGACACTGCTGTGTACAATTGGCTGCCGTATTTCACTCACAAAATGTACAGCCAGTTCAATTTATAATATATTCTGTGAAGCGCTTTGAGAGGTCTCGAAGATGTGATAAGGCGCTATATTAAATGCAAAGATTATTATTATTATTATCCTGATGGGCATCATTTACCATAATAATACATCAGCAGAACTCTTGGCACAAAAAGAAAAAGTTATAAAAATGAAACTTTAAAAAAAGATATAAAATGAAATAAAAATTTGAGCAATAAAATGAATGAAAATATGAGCTACACAGTGAAATACAAATCCAAGCTATGGAATGAATAACAAAATCTAAGATACAGAAGGAATAAAAGATACGAGTTGTAAAATATATTTTTTTAAATATGTGAGCTATGAAATCAAATATCCAAAAGAAAATGTAATGTTACCAATTCAGATGTGACTGCCTTGAGTAAAACAGAGTGAAAGATCGTGACTGCTGATTCAGCCTTAGTGCATTTCCGGCCAGTTTCTGATTTTATTTCAGATTTTCAGCAGTTGCAATTTTTCTTTTTGGCATTGCAATAAACAATCCAAATTCATTTGTTCCCTTCCTCCCCCCACTACCACCCCTCTCTCTCTCTCTCTCTCTCTCTTTCTCTCTCTAACCAGTCCATCTTGATTTAGTTCAATCTTGCTCCAGTCATCCACTTAAATGGAGACAGGGTCACAATGGGTTCAAAAAAGTAGTGGTCCAAAACGGGATTCACAAACAGTGACTCAGTTACTAACAAGGAATCGTGTTGGTAACTGGCAGTATGTCACTAAATAAACATGGGATACCTACTTTGAAGCACCATTAGATTGAGAGTTCACCACAAGAAATCATGGACTGCTGGTTGCCAACACCATTAGCAAATGTGAGCTAGACTTTTGGGGAATCCAGTTGTGAACCATTTGCTTTTTTGATACCCAACAACAGAACAATCTGTCTGCATTGTGCTTTCCTATAAACAGCCCATTGCTGTCCAAAAGAATAATAATAATCCTTGCACTTGAGATAACACCTTATCACTTTGTCTGGATGTCTCAAAGTGTGCGGGCTGGATTGGGTGTGCCATTGGACACTACTATAAACCAGTCGGTGTGAAACATGACAAATCTGGGCAACTGGTTATGCTCTACAATCACGCTTCAAGAAGTTGTAAGGCTTGCCCTGCCCAAGTCCAACCTAAAAAGATCTCTGATCGTGCTTATGGTCACCACCCCTTCTCCCTCCCTCCCCCTTTACTCTCAACCTTATCCTTGTGAAGTACTCCGAGATGTTTTCCTATATGAAGGTGATGTAGAAATGCAATTTGCCTTTGTTATTGTTGTCTCAGCAGTTGTTAAACTTCCTGGGACTAGTAGTGGGTGTGTCTCTCCTGAAAAGCACTCGCTTTAACTTAATGTCTCGGTGTACTTCACCTACAAATACAGTCACTACACTTTACAGTAAAAGTCCTGTTAAATGCTTTGAGACCTTTCAATGACGTGATGATGTGCTACATCACAGGCAAGGTCTGTTACTGCTGTTGTTATTGCCACTAGTGGCACTTGGGAGAGGTCTGCCCTATCCTCCCTGGGAGGAAAGCATCAATCATGAGGCACCGCTACAACAAACAACTCATGTAAATAAATATTCCAACAACCCATTCATTTTATCAGCTTCCAACATCAATCTCAACTTCCACTTTGGCGCACGTTTTTCCACAGCTTTGGAGGAAGACAACCATCCGATATAAATGGGAATGCAGCATCTGATGAACAGCACATACCTACTGCAAAGGTTCACAGACACTCTTGCTCCACGTACAAAATGAGGCAACGTGTTTAACTCATTAGGGAAACCCATCTGTTGACTAAAAAAATCGAGGGCAACAAACCAAGGACACCATTACTCCTCTGGACCCTTAAGTGTAGCAACAGGTGTACCTTTCAAGGGAAAAATCCCATTGCAAGTCCAAATAAGCAAAGTTGCTACTCAGCAGCAAGAGGAAGTTGAGTTCATCCATTACTCAAATTAGGATTTTCTTTTATACATATAATGGTACCAATCAACAACAGAAATTTATAGGCTTTGATGACCAGCCATTCCCATTAATCACACTTCCTATTATTACATTATAATTACATTTATTAGTATTTCACATGTTCAAATGTGCAGACAAGTATTATTTTATAAACTCTCTATTGCTTCTTCTGCCTATCCAAAAGAAAAAAAAACATGCATGGTGCAAATTAAAGGTGGTAGCTCGTGAAACCAGTTTAATTTATTTTGTGGATAGAGCTACGAAACTCCTCCTTCTCTCCTCCACGAACCAAGCGTGTCTCGGAGTTGACAAATGCCTTGTTTCTGAGCCTCTGGAAAGGGTTGCAGGGGGACTATGGAGAAGAGTAGGTGATTAACTTTGGAAACAGCTCATATTCTAAACTGCAGCTCCCCTATTCTTGCTTGTTTCATTCTTTCCCAGAGCCTGTTCAGGAATGACA